CTGAAAGGTCACCTTGAAATGGTGCCTGAAAGTGAGGGAATTTTTTACAATTCAGTTTGGACTATCAACAAGAAAGGGGTTTCCGCCTCACTTCTGGCCGGATTTCCTAAAACTTAGAACGAAATGCTTGCACTGTAATTTCGAGTGGGAGCAGGCCTTGTCACTTTTCGCAAGAAGGCCTCAGAGCATCAAAGAAATTTGTATGCATGGATGGATTTTGTAGTATCATAGTCTCTGTTTATTTAGTAAGAAAACTGAAGGATGCTCAAGGGGCTTCGTTTTTTGACAGAAATTCAAAGTTGTAAGAAACTTGAATCTTTTGTTAGAACTTTCAACCGTACCGTATCAATCGTACCCTTGCTTAAACTTCAGGGGAGCGCACTTGGATTTTGATCACTTTGCTGAGGAAGCCTTGTTTGTGAAAAAATGGCAGAACTTTCCGAATAACCCATGGGTAGTCCGATATAACTTTAGTCAGATTATTAGCGCTCAAAAACAACGCCGCATGTTTTCAATAGTCTCGTTTGTTTTACCGTAAGCTGCAACATGAAACAGTTCTTTTTCAAATGTCTATGTTTTGAAGGTCATCGTTTAGTAGTATCCACTGATTACTGTGGAAACTGGACGCTTTGAAAAACGAGAGCATATTGTTAGCGTGCAAATAAGTGTAGCCTTGATTCACTAATGTATGGGCCTCAACCCACTTGCTAGCGGCCCGTAAGGTCGCTAAAGATATTACTGGTTTGTAAGCGGCACGTAGGGCAATTTGATCGGACAGGGTAACAAATTATTTTACGTTTGTGCAGTTCTTATGGTTGACGGTCTTTAGGTGGCTCAGTAGTCGTGCTTTTCGGGGAGGGATCTCCTTTTGTAGTAAAGCTACATACTCCGGCGAAAAAATTGAAGGATTCTATGACAGAGTTCTTAGACGATTGATTTCTTTGCTGTCGGAAATTCTGAGAAAAAAGTGTTTTTTGTAGTACAAGTAATTGTTATGGGTGTATCTCTACTTTAAACCGACAGGTGTTCTGCTACTTATTTTATGATCTTTTATGGAAGTTGTTGAGAAGAACTGGGAGAGCAAATTCTCTTTGAGAGGGTAGAAAAGTGGGTTCTTTTTTTACATGAATGTCTCTGTGAGGAGGGAAATTTGCAGAAAGAGCGTGGTAAACGAGAGAAAAATAATATTCTCCATGCACGGTTGTAGCAGGAATTTCGAGAAATGCTGAATGATTTGTGGAGATCATAACTTCTTCGAGCAGTTCTCCTTTTGTAGAATGCTTTTCGCAAAAAAGTTCTCAGAAAAGGAATAGGAAACTTATTTAAAAATACTTATAGTCATAACTACCCTTTATTGTATCTGCTCCGACCCACTTGCTAGCGACCCGTAGGGTCGCTAGTATATATATATCGTGTCGTGTATATATCAAATATCGTGTCCAAATACTGATATATACACTTGGTCAATCATCGTTGCAACAATCTATTCCAGTATCTGTAGTTAGATTATGTATCTAGCTTCAAGATTGTGGGAGGAACTGCCGCTGCAGAAATTACCGCAAAAATAAGTATGCACTCAACGGAGTGGATTTTTGATAAGTAGAGCAAATGAAAAAGAAGCACTTTAAGCGGCAAAAAGGGTAACGAAATTTGTCTGGGTCATCCTTTCAAGGCCCGGCACGAAGTTTCAAATGACAAGCTGAAATTCGTTTTCGGTAAAAAAAGCAAAGGGGAAATCGTTTTTGCGGGGCCCGGGGAGGAGCCCGGAAAAAATTGGTAGTTCATGCTCTCTGCTTATCTTAACATGTTATGTGCCTCAACAGGCGAACACTGGAGTTCGCGCGCGTCGCGTCGCGCCGTCGCTAATTGCCGCAGCGCGACGACGCTCAGACGATGCTATTTGTAACAGCACACATGACTAGTTCTCAATGTATGCGTAACGATATGGCCAGGGCCCGGCACAGATCGTCTGGAAGCAGGCTGGACTTCGTTTTTGAAGCAAACATCAAAGGGGATGTCGTCTTTGACGAATCGGAACCGAGCACCAAGAATAAGCGCCATTTAGTCGAACGCAAGCTTTTCGCACAGGCTATCACACGATTGACATGCTCTGTCGTGTATGGCGAAAAGTGCGCGCGATTTGAAAGTAGGGCTAAAATAAACAAATTGCTTGTTTACGGCGCACACAGAATCATATGACACCAAAACTGAACTGTATACATAGAAAATTATTTGCAAACGAATTATGTAAAAAGGTTTGAAAACTTATTTGAAGTAATACGTTTTCCAAAATTAGATCCAGACGACCACCAGACGATCTGAGATCGTCTGGAGCATATATTTCCGTCACTTCACATAAGTTTCGAATCTTTTTAGCATGGACGGATTCCCTGTTCAAAAATCTATCCCTGAGCATGAGAACATTTTCATATCATTGCCTTTCCTTTGTTTTTTGCCTTCATTTCTTCTCGCTTTGTTAAATATCGCGCTCTAATGCCAAGTCTTGTGCATGCATGTATTCAGTTCCAGTTTGGATTTTCACACTTATCTTACGTCTTTTCTTTCAGACTAGTAAATCTTTCTTATTTTCATCTTCTCCTAAGCAGGTAGGTCAAAGGGGACTTCGTAAAACTTTTAAAAGTGAGGGGAGACTTCGTTTTCAGAAACCTTAGAAACCGATTCGTGCCGGGCCCTGGATATGGCACCAAATTTTGTAAGCGAACGGAGAGAGGCTAGTGGAAGCAAAGTATGAAAAATTATGAAAAACATATGTGAAATAATAAGCATAAGCATGTGATAATAAGCATTTTTTCCGAAAATTTTGCAAAATTGGTAAATAAAGAAGTGAATTCAAATGCCTCGTTTGCAACGCGCAGATGATGATATGGTATGAAACTTGGTACGTGCATGCACACGGGTCTGCAAAACTTAAGTGAGAAGTTTCAGTGAAAGGCATATAACTGAAGGTTGTGGCAAACTTTTTTCAATGAAAATTTTCCACTATCAAGGAAATGGAAAAATGGCTCGTTTGTAGCGTAGAGAAAACGAAATCGCGCGAGACTTGGTGTGTATACGCGCAGTAGGACTAATTAACAAATTGTGAAAAATTATGAAAAACTTATGTGAATAAAGAGCGTGCTCAAGTTATTTCCAAATTAGGTTGCCATTTGACAACCTAATGACTACCTTTCAATTCACATAATTTTTTCAAAATTTTTACATAAATCTACTCTATACCTAAAGTTTAGTCTATATTGAAATATTAGTCTCAAACGTCCTCTTCTCCTCATTGCTAGAGCCAAAAATAGCTTCAGCACCCCAGTATCCTAAGGAGAAAAGCGCGCTTCAATCGATAGCGGCGTATCGCTGAGTCCTTTAATCGGCGTTTGGTGTGTCGGTGTGTCGCCCACTTCGTTCGTCTTTCTGTTTTCAACTATGTTCCCCCCTTCCCTCCCCCTCCCCCTTCCCCGCGCTCCCCCCCCCTCCAGCTGCTGGTGCTGGTGCAAATTATCTTTCATTGACCTCACTCCAGAGATCTCTAATGTGATCTCTTTGTTTTTTTGTTATGAATGAAAATTGTTTTTGTTTTTTTTTTTTGATAAAACTTGTTCTTTGCGTAAAGTGTTCACTGCGCAATCACTGGGGTCACTTTTAGGGTCAAAGGGGAAACTTGTAAAAAAATTTTTGGGGTCAAGGGGAGAATTCGTTTTTAAAACCCCTTTTGACAACCTCGTGCCGGGCCCTGCATCCTTTTCATTAAACGCTTGTTTGAAAGCAAGTAATCAAAGATCCAAAAAACTAAAGTCCATGCAATAACGCGCTCCGCTCCGCAGCCGCGCTCCATGGCGAATCCGGCCGTTTCAGCGTCGTGTGGTTACCGTACGTCATCGCTAAGAGCATGTTTGGAATCGTGTATTGAGACAAACGCAATTTTGTTTCCTGATTTCATAGTTTGTGTCTCTTTCTTATGTCCACTGTAAGAAATAAATTGGGGTTGAGACACGCCTCAGGGGACGGTAGCATCGGGTAGAGTGCCACATCTCTTGCTCAGCCCTGCCGCTACCTCTCCGCAAGTCCTCCTCCTCCTCAGACAATCGTTGGGGGCAGGCGGGCACCGGAAAAATAGATTGCTGATCTCTCGCACCCCGCTCGCAAATTTTTTGGAAAGCAATCAGGACTTTTCGAAAGACCGCTTGCTAGTTCTCGATTCCTCAGAGATTCAGCAATATATCTGCAAAAGATAAGAGCGAAAAAAATTCAACACGCGGTCTCTCAAAAATCCGCTGACTCAGCAAGAGGTCTTCCGAAAAGTCCTGATTGCTTTGCAAAAAATCCGCGAGCGGGGTGCGAGAAATCAGCAATCTATTTTTCCGGTGCCCGCCTGCCCCCAGATAGTCTGAGTCCTTGCAGTTTTGGACATCATATGAGGATCACGGTAAAGTAATTTTGGGGCCTTAACTAAGACACTCCCCAAGCGGCAGCGAGTTTACTCACGGTTGGGAATTCGCTACAAATCGGGCTCAGCATAGAATTAACAGAGGCTTTGCATCGTGCTTGCATGCTTTCGCGCAAAGACCCATGCGAAACTGATGGGTTATGAATGAAACCATGTGAGGCTGATGCGAGCCTTACATTCATTTGATACGGGGCCCAGTTTGGAGGCGAATTCAGTTGTGGGCAGACTATATAACCGCTTGGGGATTGCCTTAGTTGGGGCTCAAAATTACTATCTACGTGAGTTATCCATATGTAGATTTGCCTGGATACTACATTCAATAAGCGGTGAGCATTATAACCAATCGGCATAGGTACATTATTGCACTAGCTGCATCGTCACCAAAAGCTTTAGCTAGCTCAGTTAAAGGCAATATTACTATCTTCACTATGCAGAGCTCCATCAGAAGTATCAATTTAGGTTAGAAACTTAGCACAAGATCAATGTGAACAAGTTTTGAAAGCAGACAACTGAAAGAGGAAGAGTGAATTATAAGTACATGGTTTTAATTCTCACGGATGTGTAACGGAAAAGTTACCGTCAGCGTTCCTACAAATATGTCTTCCTGCTCAACGTATGCCGACACGCTAGTGATAGTGCTTCCGATTCTTTGTCCATTCACCAAGATATCTCCTTCAACGGTAAGTCCATGAAGATTGCGATGAAATAATGCGTTCAAAAAGACTGTTTTACCAGAAGCGCTGAAATTACGACATGAATCTAACTCAGTCGTATGCTCTAATTATTTACCTGGCCCCCATAATGGCTACTACTTCACCGGGTAGTGCAACTCCACTTATGCCTTTCAAAATCTGGCGTCCGCTTGTACTTCGTACTTTGATGTCTTCCCATACTACGGTTATGCGTTCCCTTTTTGTTACCCATTGTGCTGCCGGCTTCAGTGGTGTAGCCGATTCCGTCGTCATGCCTTTTGTATGTAAGCAATGCTAGAAAATGGGAGTGACTGCAAAGCAGTTCGAAAACTTTGCTGTGGCTTGCAGCTTTATCTGCAAACCAGTGCGTCACCTCTGCTTCGCAGAGGTTCGCACTGGCTCTACTATCTATGTGCCTTACTCATTCTCGCAAAATCGTGGCACTGGAACTCACCGCGCTATGCCGACTACCACGAATAAAATGTAAACAACCACTCATTTAGAAAGTCTTTTCACGTGAGATCGGTGATTTCGAGTGGATGAAACTTTTCGCAGGAAGACAAACGCAAATTTGAATAGGTTTTTGGATTTGTCGTGGCTTGGTAGTCGCCATAAAGGTAATGGTAACCGTGAGCTACATCTCTGTGCGAAAATCTTCTCAAACGCTTGGCTAGAACCTTGGCAAGTTGACCATTTACACAACCAATTCATTTTGGCGCCGTTTTCGTTATGTAGTAAACTTTCGACCACTTTTCTGGCTAAACTCCATCGCTTGCACATTTGCTTACCAAATTCATCCACGACTCTGCAAAAAGTGGTGATACGGACCGAATTTTGCGGTACAGAAGCCAGGTGGACCCGTTTGGCGCTCAATTTTTAACGGATCCACTCGACGGATTTGCTCGCGCTTTTGTATATTGGACCTTCATGCTGCTAGCATGCGCCGTGCAAAATTTGGGCTCAGGAGGTTGGCTGGAACATGCTCTACAAATTTCGTAACGGACACACACACAGACACACAAAAAGACGTAAACAACCCTTAGCCCGTTATTATAAGTCATGATAATGTCACACTCAAGCAGCATACTTCTTATTAATCAAAAGCAATAGTGTTGAGTGGCTGCATCTATGTGATCCTCAATCGAAGTGGCCTTTCCAGTTGAGATGCACATAGTCTTAAAGGACACGGAACGCTGATTTCAATCCGTCTTTTTTATTTGAAGAGCGCCTCTAAGTCATGAGCTATGAGCATTTTATGAGTCAAAAATTAGACGCTCAATTGAAATAAGATCAACGTCGGCAGCCTTGTCAAGTCGTACATGGAATAATAGCGAGCAAAAAAGGCTGCAAGTTGCAAGCAAGAAATTTCTCTTTACGAAGAGATTTAGCGGTCAGCAGCGCCCCAATTGGACGAGAGACTACTATAAACTATCCTTTCAACTGAACTTTCAAACTTTCGCAACAAAAGCTCTCACAACTTCTTGTCCGGAGACGCACCGCAGATAAGAAAGACAGATTTGAAATTAGCGTTCGATCTTCTTTAAGGGGGTATGCATTCATTCTGAAAAGTTCATTTCGACTGAGTTCCTTCTTTGGTAAATAGCGTGAAATGACAAAAATGACACTGAAAACTTACTGATTGAAAACTAACCTATAGAAGAAGCAGAGACTGGCATCTAGGTCACTATATACTTCTGAATCAACATAAAGATAAAACTAAACTTGTGGCCACGAGGTATTTCGGATATCTTGTATTTTTTGTATATCTAATTTTCTAAAAAATTTCCAGATCTGTTAAAAATTAGAAAATTGGTCTATTAGGTTGACTCATATTTGCTGCCCAAAAATAGGTGCAGACAGCAATAATACATATTTCTTACATATCTATACATATACAAGGATGAGTGTTGGTAAGTTGTTAGTTAGTTTGTTCTTTATACAATTTTGTGTGCGGACCAATCGGCGCCAGACTTTGCACACATATGTTTTCGACACTGGTCCACCCCGTAGGCTATTTCTGAGGCGAAATTGCCACTCTTTCTACTGATTAATAGATTTGAGGAAAAATGAACTCTTATTAAATAAACTCTTATATCAAACCGCTTTCAAATTTCGCGTGAACAATAAGGTGGAACTCATTTTCTTTCCACGATAAGAGAGGGCGGTGAAAGCGATGTGGCTGAGGAGGTATCTGCCCTGCGTTATAAGAGTAAACAACCGAAACGCAGATAAGTTGAGCCTTTAGGCCCCGGGCAGACTTCACGCGAATTGATCGTCGCGACTGAATCGCGACGAGACAACTGTTACAACATCATTCCATGCCGATCAACTTGCATTCGGTTGTGATACTTTTCCAGCCCGAAATTTTTGGATGTAAAATGAAAATGAATGGAAATGGCGATTAGATCGCGACGATTAAGTCGCGTGAAGTCTGACCGGGGCCTTAGAGTTAAGCACTCAATTTGCTCTTTGTTGAGGCAGTTGAGAACACGGTGCGGGCGAAGCTGGGCACGCAGGCTAGTGCTCTCTAAAACCGACTCCCTTTGCATAACAACACTGAAACGGCTCCTCCTTCCTCACCTCACCTGCGTAATTTCATGGACCATGTTATCTGAGAAATTTTGTTCTGAATTCTGGCGAAATTTCCACAAAAACCTTTTTAACGTAAAATGGGCTATGAAAATGCAAATTCTCGGTTTCGCTGAAATAAGTCAGAGATATTATTCCCTATCTTTGCTTCATGAACATATGTTCCGATATAGTCAGGATAATAACATCCAGGGCGAAGCCCCGGATGACTTCTGTTTTTTTCAGGTAAAGGTTGTGTCCCCTCATAGCCCTCAAAGTGAAGGTTACCAGAGTACGTGGCTCTATGTCTCGAGGGTAACAGAAGTCATCCGGGGCTTCGCCCTGGATGTTATTATCCTGACTATATCGGAACGCATGTTAATGAAGCAAATATAGGAAATAATATCTCTAGCTTATTTCAGCGAAACCGAGAATTTGCATTTTCATAGCCTTTTTTACGTTAAAAAGAAGGTTTTTGTGGAATTTTTGCCAGAATTCAGAACAAAATTTTTTAGTTAACCTCTCATTTGACCAAAATAGAGTTTCAGAAGTTTAGGAAAGCTATTGAAGTCAAAAAAAAATTCGAAACTACGCTTAATTCTTGCGCAGAGAATCGCGTACGAATACGCTAGTCTATCTCGTTAATGAGTGATTTTCAAAGCTTGGGACGTTGTCAGTGCTCCTCGTCGTGTCATGGCGATCAAAATGATACGTAATGTTGCAGGGTTTCGTTGAGACCTCACGGAAATCTTCGAGCGGAGCCAAATGCCCCGTCGGCTCTGGTCTGTCTCTGCTGCTCGCTCTCCGCGCGCTGCGCGCTACCTCGCTACCCCAAACGCGGGGCGCGAGGCATTTGACTCTGGTACCCTTTTCTTCGCTTTCGAACCCAAATGTTGCAAGCTATATATCATTTTGAAGCTCTTGATCTCTATTTTCAAGCTGACAACGTCTCAGAGCCACATTTTTCGATTTGATCGAGAAATCCGGCAAAAACTTGTTTTCGAAAATCTCTTGGTTTTCTCCTAGTTTAACTCTTTTCACGCGGTTTTTTTCGTGCATTCTATAGATCTTGCTTCTGTCCATAATGCAGACACAACCACCCAGCCCTTACTTCTTCGATTATGGTGAAAACGTCAAAAGTGCGTTTTTCTTTACTCTGTTCTGTTTCAGTGCTTTCGCAAGGATTTTTTTTCCAGCTTGGGCAATTGTTGCTCAGAACAATAGGCGCAACAATACAGACAACGTCTCAGGAAACAGGAACGTTAATGGGGGATATTAAAGGACCCATCAAAAATCAAAACCTCATGTTGCGAATTGCTGGTCCTGGAACGAAAACTTGCACTCTGAAAAGCCGCCAAATGAAGATTCCAAACCAGGGTCAAGCGTGTTGAGGCGATCCTGGACCCTTATTTACGACCCCTCTTCCCCTTGAAGGTACCCATCCGTACGACCCTCCCCTCCCCCCTCCCTCCCCCTCTTCCATCTATCCCCCTTACCTCCTCTGCCCACATTTCTCGTGGTAACCTGCATAAACGTATGTCAATCTCAAAAAACACCTGCGTGAGAACTTCAGTGAGGTTTCGGAAGCAGAATTTCTAGCCAATGGGTGCGTCCAGCATCTCTAGCACATATACACACCTTCAATAATGTTTGAGATTCTGCAAGTTTACTTTTGAATTTTCAGGCATACTTCAGGCCAGCAAATCCGATTCCCGCATGCGACACAAATTTTTACACGGAGAACAAAATGATTCTTGAGCTACAAAAGATGTTTTCGACTAAGAAGCTCAGTTCTTACCTCTTCCACAGTTTTTCCTGCGAAAAAAAAAACGCTTTAGCGCCATCCAGAACGACGTCAAAAACATGCATGAGCACGGTAGTTTGAGAATTCGTATCTAAGGCCAGGAAAAGACTGAGAGGCTGCAAAGAACAGGTTCTGTAGCATAGTGCCCATACTATTCATAGAAAGAGTTTCAGCCCTTGAGGAGCAGCGAGCTCGAAAAAATTTAGATCAGGCTCTCGCAAATTTAGATGCGATCCTAAAAAGCAAAAACTGGGATTTTTGAGCTCAAAAAGTAACTTACCAGAGAAGTTATAAAACAGCCTGAAATTCTTATGATATAAACTAGAGGGATGGCCTTGTATTACAGCAAATTTGCAGCTAACAAGCTTCGATAGCTCCGGAGAAATTTAGATCAGCCGCAGATACGACCCCCCTTTTCTCATTTTTTGCTACCATACATAAAATCATCATAAGAAAATCCGCAGTTTATAAAATAACATCAGAATTCGCACAGCAGTAGCAGGGCTTATCTAAAGTGCATATAAGTTGTAAGGGCCGCATAAATGGCATTACAAAAAGATTTACGAATTATTGATTGTCATCGTTGATCTACATGTGCGTTTTGTCGAGTGTGCGAGTCTTCAGTGAGCCTTCGGAAGCAGGATGTCTACACCAATCGGTACATCCAACATCTTTATCACACATACATGCCTTTAGCAGCATTTGAGCTTCTGAAAGTGTTTATTTTTTGGTTCGATCCCCGTTTGAGACAATATTTTGCGGGAGAAATAGCGATTCCCATAAAAAAAGAACTAAGTCATATTCTTTGAAAAGCGCAGCAAATGAAGCGAATTTCCACGCTTGCAAATGTTTTCAAATTATTGTTCACTCGTTTTTATTTGATACATTGGTACACGGCATT